TTATATTATCATATATATTAATAATATATAAAAATCATATAAAAAAAATAAAAAACCTCTTGTTTTAAGTTTTAACACCACCTAATTCCACGTACTGTGGATGTGGTGGAGGCTATTTTTACGTGCCACGTAGGCAAAATAACACGTGGCACTCCTCCATAATCCAACAAACTACTACAAAATGTGAGTGGATTTGACGACCAAAATGGATCACGGCGGAAAATTTCTATGATGGAGAAGAAGGAGAACGACAGAAGAAGGCTACAAAAAGAGGGGCAACACATCAACCAGCAGCCCCACCTCACACCGTTGACCCCCACGACTCACGGTGGCTATGGTGGTGGAATGTACGGGACGGAGCAGGAACAGGCGGCGAAACCTCCAAATATGCCACCCGCTAGTGAGACACAAAGTGCTGATGGCCCAGCTGAGGCCAAAATCCAGCCCAAGCACCCGCCCCCACCTTCCTCAGGTGATGGAGACATCGACATGGCCGGCCAGCTTCTTACATTCAGTAATCTAGCTAGCTATCTACATATTTAGTTCGCTGACAATTTCCATTTCTTTGAACTGTTTTTTTATTTATTTTAATAATAATAATAATAATAATAAGCTTCAAAGTTCAAATTGGTGTTTTGGGTTTTTTTTTTTTTCTTGATTGATATAATAAAAAATAATTATTTTTTATTGTACAATCAAGATAAAAAAAATATTAAAATAACCAAAATATTTTAGTTTTAATAAAAACAAAAAAAAAATACAACCATGAGATATTAGATTCGACAAAACATGCAATTAATCCACCAACAATAAGGAGTAAATTAATTTTAAAATATACCTACATATCTGGTGAGATGTCGCATCAAAAGCTGCCGGCCGGCCAGTTTGCCTATATGAATATATGTAAAACATTTTTTTGGAAAAATAAAACATTGGGAATATTGGAGAGGAAGAATTTAATTGGTACAACTAAGCTGTGTATCAAGGTGTTTTGAAAAAAGAAATCATTGGGAATATTGGAGAGGTAAGCTGTGTATCACGGGGGCACGAATCATAGCAAGCAGCACGGCCTAATTGGGTGGACCAACCAATGCAATTAAGGCTGCAGGTGCCATATATATGAATAGAATGTAATGAGAAGCAACCATAGTAATTAATAATACTACATCTCTCTTATACCCAAAAAATAATCTCTGTTAATCAATAAGATTTTTGCTTACCTTATACCCCAAAA